CAGGTACTAACCTCTAAAGATGGCGCCGTGCTGCAGGAACCTGGAAGAGGAAGCTGGAGCTAGGGCGCTGAAGGTAAGTCGCCCTGGCCTCCGCCAAATCTCTCTCTCTCTCCAGTGCTACTCTAGCTCCTACTAGCACCCAACGCTGAAGACTGCTGCTAACGCTACTACTACTACTGAGGCGCTCCTCCAGAGTGCTGCTGCCGAATCCTGAAGACTACCTCCTGCCTCCTGAACTGCACGTGAAGTGCTTGGGAAGTCCCCTATGAACTACCTGGAGCTTGCAGGGCTAGCCAGTCTTATATAGTGTTGGCCCGTCCAGGAGGCTGCACTTGCCAATGCCAAAACGTGCCAGACCCTGGTGTTGAAGTTCAACAAAGGTTGTCTTGAAAACAGGCCAAAAATGGCTTGTGCTAAAACCCTGGTCTAATGCCTAAGTTTCAGGGCAGGTCGATCTTATGAGGGCCTGAAAATGGCCCTTCGTTTCAGGCTAAAAATACTTAGGGCCTGGAGGGCCCTTTTTTAGGCTGAAACGGCACAGGGCCTGTAGGCCCTTATTTTCAGGCTTTCAGGTTGAAACGACATAGGGCCTGTAGGCCCTTGTTTTCAGGCTTTCAGGCTGAAACGACACAGGGCTTGAAAATGGCCCTCGTTTGCAGGCGCAACATGTAACACCCCCCCCTCCTCATGAAGTCAAGCCGGGTCGAGGGCGAAGCTGGCGATCTGAAGGTGGAACCTGGACGCGGGTGCGGCATGGAGCCGAAGATACCGGCTTGCCTTGCATCTTGTGAGAACATCTGGAGCTGTTGCTTGGAGTTCTGCATGGGTCAACCAACGGTCAGTTTTGTGGGTGCAGTACGCAAAGTGTACCAAGTATTCGGTCGGCCTGTTGCCGTAGTGTCGCTGGGAGATGATGTCGCCGACCTCTTGAAAACCGTCCATAGAGGGTGGGTCTTGCGATCGTCGCTCGGGAAAGTCGTCATGTTCTGCTGGCGTGTAAAGAGCCAACTTGGAGCAATTAAAGACCGGGTAGACGGGCAAGTGGGAGGACACCTGAATGATGAAGGAAGGTCCTTTG